ACAGTGGAGTCTGGGTATGCATGTGGATGTATGGCGCAAGCTGGGACTCCTCTTATATTTGGGTAAAGACAATTCTAATTCCCATATTAGAAAACCACAATTGATTGTTATTTTTGAATCATGCGGTAAGCACCATGTTTGTTGATGTTGATAGCCATGCACTCAAGTGAGGAGGATGCAGATCGCTTTGTACCTTGTTCGAGAGCCCATGAACTACATAAGGCATATGGTGCTCACGGAAGCAAGAAGAGTTGCACCTCAAGTTGAAGCTGCAGTGGAAGAGTACAAGACAACCCATGAAAAGAGGAAAAAGGAAAGAGAAGAGCACAAGGAAACCCGGTCAACGAGCCCAAAACAACCTGATTTTGAGTTTTAGTTTTTGGTTTTGATGAAGGACAACACTTATGTTTTTTTTTTTCTCAGGATGATGGACAACCGTTTTTAATTTGGTTCGGTGAATGCTTATTATTTTTGGTTTTTATATTTGGTTTTTGGTTTGGTGAATGCTTTTTATATTTGGTTTTTGGTTTGGTTTGGTGAATGGTTTTAATATTTGGTTTTTGGTTTGGTTTGGTGAATGGTTTTAATATTTGGTTTTTGGTTTGGTTTTTGGTTTGGTGAATGCTTTGTATATTTGGTTTTTGGTATTGTGAATGCTTTCTATATTTGGTTTGGTTTGGTTTGTTTTTTCGTGGAAATGGCAAAGGGACTTCACCAAAATTCCAGCTTCCAACTTGTGAGTGAGGTTGCGTCTGTTCAAGGCTTCAAGCCATTGTATCTTGTAGAGAGGTTTAATTGGGATCATGTATAGTTAAACTGATTGGCTCCCAATCGTATAATTAAATTTGCATTCATGTATAGGTAACCCAAAAGGTAAAACTGATTGGCTCCCAATCAGTATAAATAATGACCAAACCAAGTACAAGGCAGATAGAAAATTCTTATGTAATTAATTTAATGTTCCTAGGATATGGAAAGGCTTCCATGTAAAGGATTGAAAGTAGTGATTTACATTGATGAGGAGAGTGGCTTAAGTACCAACTCTTGAACAGATTGAAACTACAAAGTAGGAGCCACTAACCCACTAACTAAAACTAATGACGTTACTAACTAATAATAATAAAATTAATTATTTACAGAAATTGAATTTATGCACAGCCCTTATCATTCCATTCCTTGAATTTCCACCAACGACGTTTTCACTCCCCTTTTAGTCAGAGAATTCATTGTAGTAATAAATACAATAAAAAGGCATACATAATTAATGGATTCTTTATTGTGTATAATTAAAAGGATATTTTACTATAAACGAAGCATGATAGATCCACAGGGGGATAAAAGAAGCATGAGTCTTGATGAAAAAGGGGAAAAAATCACCATAGATAAAAAATCATTATAATCAACCTAATTGGAACTGCTTAGAACAAAAGCGGATTAAAATCTCCCCCAATGAAATTCATTTGCAATTTCATAGGTAGTCCCTACTTCCACTTCTATAATTTTGACAAAACATTGCAATTTCATCAATAGTCCCCACTCGTGGGCCAATTTCAATTGCAACCAAATTTGCACCCTTGCAATAGCTTCTCACATCATAGCAAGTGTAGGATGCAATTGCACCTCCTTGCTTAGGGATGACCATTACTGCATCTCGTCACCTGTCTTAGGGAAATTAGCCATGGCAAATTCACAAAATACTGCATGCATAGAAAAATATTTGTCTGGATAATTAAAAAAATGGGAGACTTTCCTAGTCAGATGATGTACTGGCTCCCCTCAGTACCTGACAGTTTTGAGTGCTGGAGAAAAAGACTGGAAAAAAAAAACAACGAAGCCTTACAGTAAACTTCTTAACAAAACACATCCAATGCTGGCCCCTTCACTGCTCCATCCCGCCCTGCACTGCTCCACCCCGCCCTGCATCAATCGACTCTCATGTAAGCCGAGGACGTTTGCTTGAGGATGCCTCAGGGGTCTCTTCATGCTCCGTATGCCGAAGTTCATGAAAAGTATTGGTCACTTCGACGATACGGTAGACTGGCAAATAGGCAGAATGGTCCTCCCTAGCATAAACCCCCATATCCATCCCAACCCTTCCAAGAAAGGTGGTCAAGAAGGTGGCATATGGAAAGGCAGTGTACCAGTTTTCCCCTCTAGGAGCCGCCTCAACCATGTTCACGCACATGAGAGATGCGAGGTTAAGAGGAACACCTCTTTGAGCTTGCACAAGGATAAACAGGTCAAGTGTACGAATTATCGAATGACCTCTGTACCTTGGCATGAAGCAGTTGACGATCATCCAATGGAGGAATCGAAGAGGATCTGGGAGGTAAGAAGCCTGGATGCGCCCATTCGTCAGTTTCCCCAGTTCAACTTCAAAATCAAAATCGTACAGCCGCCGAAGATCGCTTCTGCTATCAATGTGGTGTCCTGCGGCGGGGAGATCGAGGATCTCAGCAAACTGATGAGGCTGGAAGCAGACTCTATGACCCAGGAAGACCGACACGAGATGAGAATCGGAGGGACCAGACAGCTCTAAATTGTGGTAGAACTTCCTCACCGCATGCGGGCAGTAACTGGTGCTTCCTCGACTCCGGAGATCGATGAACTTTTCCCAGCCAAGATTTTTAATTAACTTCTTAACTTCTTGAGGGAAAGGACTCAGGTTGATGAACTCGTACTCGGCCACAATAGTTGTCTTGCTCGTGAATGAAAGATAGTCCTCGAGACTTGTGGTGGTTCGGCAGTCGTTGTTTGATAGAGTTAGAATGCCCATGTTTGCCATGGATTCAGAGGAAGAAAGAACAAGGGAAGGTGAAGATATGGGGGAAAAAATTGTAGGGAAAGAGAGATTGTAGGTGTAAGAAAAAGTGGGGGTTGAGTGTGGAGACGTGTGATGGAGACGGTTGAGTCTGGAATGTCAAGAGTTAGAAGATTTGGGAAGATATGTAGTAATGATGATGTTAACTCGTGTAGGTTAAACTAGGGTAACTAAATCTAGTTAAACTAGGGTTGGCGCTGATACCGCAGGAGAAAACTAATGGGCTCGCACGTTCCAGGCCCAATTTTGAATATTTCATGGGTCATGTACAAGCCCACGTTTGAATGTTATTTAAAAGCCTGCAAAAATCAATGATCAGACCCAGTCCAACTAGAATTAGTCCTAAACGCAGCGTTAATACATAAACACAAATTAAGGAGACCTCTCCATCTGATTCGAATCAAATTAGGTCTTCTTCATCTCCTTCCTCAATCCTCTGGGCGAGACGAACACTGCATATCAGGAAATCTAAATTTCACCGAGAGATATAATCACAATAACGCTAAGACAAGATGACAAAGCACTAGTGACATGAACCCTAGGGTTAGCAAACCTCTTTCAAGGGTTCTTTTCCAAATGAAAAGTTCGATGAACACAATAATAGACATGGTCGCCGTAATCGTGTTAGAAAGAGATAGGCGAGGGGAAATACACTGGCGAAGAAGAAACAAGACAAAATTATTTTGGGAAATTCAATCTACGTCGAATGGGGATGGGGAGCTTCTCTTGGAACTGTGAAGGGGCGTCCCTCCAAGACGAGAGAGGGATCGTGTAATTGGTTAGGGAGACTGGAAATTGGTTTGGGCGGCAGTGGGTCTACCCAATTGGGTTTGGGTCTTAATCCATTTAATTTAACCGGGGCAGTTAGTTGGACTAGGATGCAAACTAACTTAACGCGGAGGAGGCAATTTGTAATTTGTTTAGTTATTTAGTGGCGCAGCTAGGTTTAACAAACGTGAGCCGTGGAGATTGAAAACGAACGGTTAAGATCGGCCAAGGCACCCGTACCCGGGTTTTGCCCTGGGCACCGTAGAAGTCACCTAGTTATTATATATTTATATAAAAAAATTGTAGTCAACCATGGCTAAAAACAAGATAGAGAGAAAAAAAAAAAGATTCAGACTTGTTAAACTTGGATATGAAGATCTTGCCACTAAATCGTCGTGATGGCTTGATATGCTGATTCATACGTTAGGCCATGCCATGCCATGTTGTCTTGTCCCGAGTAGTCACGACCTGGGGGCATGATGGCTTGAAACGTGATAGTAGAGGAGCGGTGACCATAATGTCTCTAGCGAGATAAAAAGGAACATTATTTTTCTAACGCAAAAAGTAGAAGACTTGAGTTTTCGTGGGGGAGCTGCTTAGCCTTGTGATGAATTGCGATGAGTAGCTCCGTGTTAAAATTTGTGCGGAAAAATTCTAAGTTACTTGCTCAACCATGTGGCCAAGTACTAGATGGCAACGAGAGTTTTGAGTCAAATTCAAGAAGGTTTGAGTGAGAGATGACGGGGTTTTTTATTATTTGGAAGTCAATATTTGGCCAAGGCATGGGACAAGTCTTTGATGGCGAGTTCCATCAGGCGTGTTGGCTTGACGTGAAATTCAAAATTAGGCTAAGGCATGGAATAAGCTTTGACGGCGAGTTCCATCTGGTCGTGTTGGCTTGATAATTGAAAGCCAAAATTTGGCTAATGCACTGAACAAGCTTGGACGGCGAGTTCCATCTAGCCTAGTTGACTTGATTATTTAAAGCCAAAATTTGGCTAAGACATGGAACTAAAATTTGACGGCGAGTTCCACCCGACTGTTTTGGCTTTATGTGATAGCCAAAATTTGGCTAATTATATGACTTTGTGATGCGGAGAGTAGGCTAGTGGCCATCAGCTATCTCATACCACATGACTTGCCTGGATCGTGAGAAACAAGAGAACATGAGGGAGCCAAGAAAAAATCTAGAATCATATGAAAAACAAGCCATGAAATCCGAAAAGGAAAACTTTAATTAAGCTAGGGTGTTGCGACGAAAAGCAAAGAAAGGAAGACGGCACACGAGGTTTGCATTGGAGAGGCAAGGAGGCAAAGGCTTTGGGAGCCTTGCAGACGTTTGTCTAAAGCCAAATTTTGCGAATTGTGATTTTGCCAGTGTTTACCCATAAAAAAAAATAAGCTTGTACCACATCGATTAACTACAAGAAATTCAATGGATTTATAAGGCCAGCTCAACATTAATGATTAAAAGAGCCAGCTGGGCCTAGGTGGGTTGGATTTTTCGGCCTAAGTGGCCAAGCCCCTTCTTCCTGACACGATGGTCGACTCGTCTCCTTGGCCCCATAGCCGGACGATGCCTCCACCCCTTAGTATGAAATTTGGCTCCCAAAAACTAAGTCTTGGAAACAAGGCGACACAACGGGGTGCCAAATGACCGGGTACCAAATAGGAGGCCATCCAAAAACTAAGTCTTGGAAACAATGCGACACAACGAGGTGCCAAACGGCCGGGTACCAAGCCGGGTACCAAATAGGAGGCCATCCAAAAACTAAGTCTTGGAAACAAGGCGAAACAACGGGGTGCCAAATGCCCGGGTACCAAATAGGAAGCCATCCAAAAACTAAGTCTTGGAAACAAGGCGACACAACGGGGTGCCAAATGACCGGAGGTCAATGACGGGGTATTAAGACGGCAAGGTGGGCTTGGTACCAAGACATGGAATTTGGCTAAGTATGGAGCTAAGGGGGTACCAGGCAGGCAAGGCAGCCTCTGTACCAAGACCCCTACCAAGCCGGCAGCCAAGCAAGGCGACAGGGTACCATGACCCCAAGGGGGTATCAAGCCGACAAGACGGACTTGATAGCTCGGCCCTTATGAGGCCATATGGAGACAAAGTCCAAATACGGGCTTTGTAGCACCTTTACAGGGTACCAAACCGGCAGGGTGCAACTTACCAACTTGACGAGGCTACAAAAACTAAGTATGGAGACCAAGCCAGCAAGGCTGGCTTGGTAATCCGAGCCGACATGACTGGCTTGATGGCAGGGGTATCAAGCCAGAGGCACAACAAAAGCGGGACCAAGAAAGGGAAATAAAACTAAGTGTGGAGTCTTGGGGGCTTCCAAGGGTGTGGTCGAGACTTCATCATGGAGGCAAGGTTGAGGGTTTCAACCTCATCCAGTCAAGACAAGGCGACAAGACCAATACCAATTCAGTTGGGCGTCGAGGGCATCAAATACCAGCCAGTCAACAAGACGGGTCAAGGAGCTCCAAGGCAATGGAGGTGAAGACCAAGACAACTGTTACCAATTGGCCACCAGGGCAACGAAAACGGGTCCCTAAGGCGGTTGGAGCAACAAGCCGGCTAGCAGTTACTACGGCGGTTACCAAGGCAGTTACACCCGATGACTATAAATAGGAGTAACACAGGAAAAGGGTTCCACAACCACCCATTTGACACGCCATGTCAAACTTTATCTTTTTCTCTGCAAATTAGCCATAGCCTTAATTTTCGGAGCTCTCACTGAACCTCCATAGGAGTAGGTGTAATTAACTTAGTTTGTTCCCAAAAAACCATCAAAAACATCAAACACCCTAGTTCGAACATTGTTCAGAGAGGAGTGAACCGTGTTATTAATCGTTGTTCAAGAAGTCAAGGTGCATTTATTGAGTTCAAACACAAGTTTTTCCTCGCCGGAAAAAAATTGGCACACCCGGTGGGACAACTGTGTGTTTGATTTGATGGCTCCTAGGCGAAAAAATCTGGAAAGTGATGCTCCGCCAGGGTTTATGGAGGAGCAAGTGGCCAACATTGAACATGGCCAGTTAGCTGAAGCGGTTTACGGTGACAATGACGTCGGGGAAGCCTTGCCACCGCCGGCACCAAGCTAAAGCGTTGATGTAGTTGCTGCCATTGGGTCACTTTACCAATTCATGGAGGAAGCTTTGGCTGGAAACACTCGTCAGGTAAATTCTCAACTTCATTGTCTAAACTCCTATGTAGATAGGCGTTTAAGTCAACTTTTTGAAATCGTAACTAAAAATAAGAATGATTTTGATGAGTTTAGGAGAATTTTGACCACACCAGTGGTACAATCACGAGCTTTTCCAATTGATGGCACAAATTCAACACTAAACAATGCAAGTTTTTCTCCCGTCGGTGGCCGGAATGGCCAACTACGATAAGATAACTTACCGCCACCAGTGACAACCCAACCAACCTCTCACCATGTGAATCACTGCGAGATTCTCACCACCACTCAAGTGGAGGCATCTCTTAACATGGGTGTTGGGGAACTTCCCCCACGTGGCAAAAATTTTGACAATACGTTCCACACCCATGTTGAACAACCGCCATCCATCCTGGTGGCGAGACCCTACGTAGCTCCTGCAAACATGGTTGGGGGAGGAAGGTTAGGTGTTGGGGATCAAGTTCCCCCACGTGCTTACCCAGCACCCATACCACCCAAAGTCCATGGGCATGGTGTGGGCCCCATGGGGTTCGTACCGCTAGGGGAGCAAGGGGGCATGATGCTAATGCCCTAAGGGATCAGGTTTCTCAACTTCTTACCGAGCAATTTGTATTAAGAGTAAGGCCCACCATGCCACGTGTGTATCGTAAGCCTTACCCGGAATGGGTGGATAGGCTATACCCATTCCCAAGAGGTTTTAGGGTGCCCGAGTTTGCCACCTTCACGTGTACTGGTGACTAGTCTACTGTTGAACATGTGGGACGGTTTACTGTCCACTGTGGAGACGTGGGAGACTTTGTCAAGTTAAGACTTTTCGGCAACTCGTTGACAGGGCCAGCTTTTGCATGGTATGTCAACTTCCATCCAACTCTGTTCAAACTTTGCAACAGATGGAACAGATTTTCCATGCTCAATTTTATCGATCTGAGCCTGAGGTCTCAATGGCTGACTTGGCATGTATGCGCCAACAACCAGGGGAGTCGGTGGAGCATTTCTTGACTAACTTCAAGAATGCTCGTAACCGTTGTTTTGTCAATTTGACGGAGAGGGAATTTGTCAAGCTTGCACAAGGAGGCTTGAGCTTTGAGTTAAGGAAGAAATTCCAAGACAGAGAGTTCTCGGACTTGTTCCAACTCATGTCTTGTGCTGTGAGATATGAGTCTCTTCTCCAAGAAGAGGAGAATAGGAGGAGTGCATCAAGGGGGCAATACTTCCCCACAATCAACTACCCTGTTAACCATGTTGGTCAAGAGGATAATGAGGTGGAGGTAGATCTAGCTGAATTAGCCCCAAGGAAGCCATATGTATGTGCTTCTTTGGCTATGGCTGAAAATGAGCCACAAGGGGCATACCCAATAGGGCCCCTATCCAGCCACGCAAGTACTCCTTTGACGTCTCGAAGGCTAACTTGATTTTTGACCAACTCTACAAGGATGGTCAGATCAAGTTGACTGGGGGGGCATAACATACCACCACACGAGAAATTAAAAGGAAAGAAGTATTGTAAGTGGCATAACAGCATGTCACATGCCACTGACTCATTTGTGGTTTTCCATAATATCTTGCAGGATGCTATTGAGAAGGGGCGTATCAAGTTCCGAGAACCAAAGAAGGATGTCATGTTGGTGGATACTGACCCATTTCCCAACGTGGTAGGCATCAACATGGTTAACCCGGACCTCTCCAAAATTGAGCTGCCCCGTTTCAAGTTGGTGTTGGATACAACGGCGCCTCAACATGGGAGCTCCAATGCAACTCGTGAACAAGGGAGCTCATCGGGTACAAAGCAGGCTAGCCCGGCCGCAATGATGATAGATGAAATTGAGAAGTCAAGAAGAGCCTCAAACTTGATGAGGCAAGGCCTTCCGCCCACCAAAGACTTGGCCCACCCAATAGGCCGAGATACCCTTCTTATCAGAGACAAGTGGAGGGGGTCGTCCAGCCGACTTGGGGGCAACGAAGGCAATGGATAGCACATGGCATTCCTTCCATGAGTAGTCCTCCCATCAGAGGTCCTCCCGTGATGAGACCTTTAAAGATTCCAAATGTGCCACAAGGAGGGTGGCATACTTATGACATGCGTCGTCAACAACCAGTAGCCATTGGGGGGATGACAAGGACTCAAAGGAGGAGATTCCTACGTAAGAATGTTGCAGCACGGCAGCGGAGGGATCCAGTAATACTTGGTTCGAGGATCAGACCATCACAACACAATGATGTTGTTCCACCAAATATCGAGGTGGACAACTCAGTGACTACCGGGCTCGAGGTGACAATGACTGACAAAGGGAAGCGGGTCCAAGTACAGGGTGATGTCAAAGTTCATGAAGGGGTTGAGGATGACTTCCAAGAAGAAGGAGGTGAATATGAAGATGAGTATGCTGAAGATGACATGTTAGAAGATGATGAAGGGGATGACCAAGGACCCCCTTTGACAATCCAGTTTGGAAGTTTACCGCCAGTGGTGGTCACAAAATACATACTACCTATGGTCTTGCAATTCAATGAGGAAGACCGGGATAGGTATGTGGAGGAAGAAGAGGTAGTAGAAGAAGCTGAAGATACAGACGGGTCCGTTGCTGAGTTAACCGAGGGATTTGCTCGTTTGGAAGCAAGTGATGAGCCATGGGGTGTTAGGATGGCTCGATTGGGAAGTAGGATTGATCTAGCTGCGGAGGTGGCGAGACAAGGCAAGAGTTCTCAAAAACTTTTGAAGGAGCTCCATGAAGTAGGCCATAAGAGTGTTGGTTTACTTGGTGAAGAAGATGGGAGATACCCTTTTTATGTGTTATGCCAGGGTCCTGAAGCTTCATCATCCTCACCCATCCAGAACCCTTCTTGGGGTTGGGAGTTTGATGGTGAGGCGGAGGGTTCGGCAGCAAAGGAAGAAAGTTCGCCGAGAGAAGAGGAAATCTTGCAAGTAGCCACCTTAAAAGGGAAAGAGGTCATGGAGGAGGAGAACACAAGTGATGAGTTAAGTCACTTAGTGGTTTGCAAGGAACCAGAGCCAAGTATGCTAAGGCATTTGAGGCCCCTCTATATCAACGCTAGGTTGGATGGTATGCCGATGTCAAGAATTCTTGTTAACAATGGAGCTGCTGTCAATGTGATGCAAACTAGGCTGTTAAGAAAATTGGGAAAGACTACAAGCGATTTGATTCCCACTGATATCTTCGTTACTAGCTTCAATGGTGGATCAACACCAGCAAGAGGGATACTACAAGTCTTAATTGGAGTTGGTAGTCTAGAGAAAATGTCTGCCTTATTTGTGGTGAATGGGGCGATGAGCTTCATCATTCGGTAGTAGTAGATTGGTTATACGAGAGTTAGTCAATCTACTGCTTTGTACTGGAATCCAATTCCAGTAGTGGAGTTCTGTGCTCATAGCCTCAGCTTTCTATCCCGGTGAAGACTAGTCGTCTGCCGGGTAGTTGGACTGAGAGGGCTTGGTCAGCTGAAGAGATTCCAAGCTACTGTCGGATCTTCCGCAGTTTAGTCAACACTCAACAGTAAATCAACCCAGGGTAATTACAACTGAGACCTAACCAAGGAGCTAGGGGGACTCATTCCCGAGTGACTCTTCCTTTGCGTTAGAAAAC